ATTTAATCTCCTGGCTTTTGCTTCTTGAACTTACAAACATTTTTTTTCTCGAGTGTACCTTTTTAGGTGAGTAGCCAGAGCTTTGAGGCATTGTTTAGCAGTCTCTGCAAGGGTCACCAACCTTTTTGAGACTGAGAGCTACTTCAGTGGGACCAAATAACACGAAGGGCTGATTGTATGATACAAACAAATTTGCACAGCTCACATTTAATTATAGTATTAATAATAATACATTTACATACATGTGAATATATGACTGCCTGATCACATCTTAATGTCAAGAACTCCCCACAATGATTAGCAGCAAGGATTTAGCATGGCAAACGCTAATTGTTGTTTGTAACACTTCACAAGAGCTCTAACTCTTGTAGATACAAAATAACAGTAATGTAATATAAAATACAAAACTGATGTTTTTAAATGAATCATGTCACATAATGATCCTCAGATCTGCAGCATTTTTAATTAATCATCACATCTTTTACTTTTTTAAAAGAAATTTATTTTTCACATATTTCATCACTGCTTCTTTCAAGACCTCCCCATCAGAAAACGCCTCATGAAAAATGTCTGCTGGTTGCTCAAAGCTACCTTTAACTCTGACATTCTTCTGCCTTTTGTGAGTTACCAGGGGGGTAGTTACCGTTGAAGCTAATGTGTTAGCTGGTGAAGTGTCGCTCCATGTTGTGGTGTTTTGCTGTTGCCACATCCCACAAATGAGACACTGACACATTTGTCTTTCACAACTGTAAAAAGACCTCTTCCTCCCAATCACTGAACATGTGTTTTATTACGTTTCTGCTATTTTGCCCTCGGGGAGGTAAAACTAGCTTACTATTGAGGCCTTGAAGGCCAAAGAAGAGCACATTAAACAGAAACTAACAACGTGTCTAGATCAGACCACACTTCAGCAAGTGTTGGACTGTACAGATCAGGCACGCTTAGCACAGCATGTCAAGTCCAAGACTCGACAACAAAACAAGTTTAATGTACTAATAGCTCATCAACACCATCACTATTCCAATAACAACACATTCAGTGTAGGACAACACTCCAGTAGTCAATTACATGTCAGGGAGACAGAAAAGTGGGTGAAGAATTTATCTGACAGACAGCTCACCCAGCTGGAAACAGAGATTCTTGCCAGGGGACTGAACTTTGCAGTTGCACCAAGTACAATCCCTCTGGTGGAGATGATCACAGCTACTGAGTCAGCCATCCGCAACAACAAAATTAAAGAGGCTGAAGCAGAACAGCTCAGAATCAAAGTTTCATCCTGCCTCAGCAATGCCAAACCACCACCTTCCAACATCAGTAGAGAGGAGAGGGACGCACTCACCACTCTTAGCAAGGACAAAAACATCATCATTCTCCCAGCAGACAAAGGAAGGTGCACAGTGATTTTGAACCAGAAAGACTATCATGAGAAAGTTATGACACTCCTTAGTGACGTAAACACTTATGAACCTCTGAAAAGAGATCCAGGAAGTGGTTACAAGAAGAAATTGATAGATTGCCTGAAAATTTTGGAGCAGCTGCTCTAGGACAAGGCTATTGACCGTATTCTGTACCACAGACTGTACCCAGGGGAGGCCACACCTAGTCTGTAT